ATGCGATCACTCACAACCAGTGCTTTCTCCGTAGTCCAGCTTCCAGTGTAGAGTGACTCTCCGCAGCCTCATCCGTCGTCCCTTGCTGTTTTGTCTCTGCTTTCTAACTTCCTCCGTATTACTCTTCCCACGGTCCCCCGTGTCCTTTCCTCCCTTGTCACTGAGTTTAGGGTTCTTTCTCAGTCCGTCTCTGATCTTGTCGCTACTGTCGCTAACTTTGCCTCCACCCTACCGCTGACTACGCCACTCATTTGGTCTCTGCTCCTGTCCATCCTCCGTCTGTCATAGCTGCGCATGCCCTTGGCAATGACGTTATAAATGACAAGCAATTTGATCGAATTTTCCTTACGATTGTTGCTCTTCATGTCTGCGCCATGCTGTGAGGCCCTGGGGGTGGCCCAAACGTTCTTGACACCCCAACCCCTCGCACCTACACTGAGGCAGTCTCGTAACATTGGGCCTATCAGCGGATAGCAACCATGGATATACAGATGGCATATTGGAGCTTCATAAACACCTACGACGCTAGAGGCTTCAGCCAGCGAGAGGGGTTGGAGTTCTGTCGAACCTTCTTCCCCACCCCGAAAATGACTACTCTTAGGGTACGCATATCGCGGCACAACGCAACTACGAGCTTCACTCACTTGACTTCTCATCTGTCTTTATCTAGAAAAACCTGCACGAGTAGATCTTCGTCGGCCATCCACCTGGCTTCACTGGGTCTTTCACTCCTGGGACCTAGTGGAACTTTTCGCGCCATGTCTACGGTCGGCGTCAGGCGCCTGGTGAGCTTCCTGTCCTCTCCTGGCCCGTCTCTCTTTGTTCGCTCTGGCTCGACTCATTTCTATGCTGTCGACTTGGTCTTTGTTACTCCATATGTGGTCGAATTAGCATCGGTAGCTGCTTACGAAACACGCTTACACTGACGTAGGTGGGTTGCATGACTATCTTGGCCTGCAGTTACCTAGGGATTGAGTTACGTGCACTATCACCCTGACTTAGTCACACATGGTGTAGCAAATCCTCTACCGCTTCAACCTTCAGTTCTCCTCTGCCTATTCAACTCCTTCGCATGTTGGCCATACGCTCTCGGCCCCTGTCTTTAACAAGCACAGTTGAGCCCAGTGATCAGCACGCAGAGGTGGTAGGGTGCCTTATGTACCTGATGACTTGCATTCGACCAAACCTCGCATATCCTCTCAACATCCTTGCTCGCTTTGTTGCGAACGGGATACACCGACCTGGGCACTGGTCGGCTGCTAAGAGGGTATTGCGCTACCTGGATAGTGCATCAGACATGGGGCTTATGCTCGGTGGACGACATCTAGTTGCACTCATTAGACACATGGATGCGTCGAGGGCAGACGACATTGAGACTCTTTAATCCTCTCAGGGTAACTGCTTTTGTCTTGGCGCCGGAGCTGTCTCGTAAGGTCCACTCGCTCGTCGTCAATGGCATAGTCCAGCCATGAGGCGGAGATCTACGCTGATGCTCTGTATGCTCATGAGCTCCGCTGGCTGACGCTCTTGCTCACTGACTTATGTGAGCCGCCTAGCTCTGCCCCGGCCCTGTTCACTGATAACATGGCCATGATCCTCCTGCGTCAGGAGCCAATGCCAGAGGGTAGAGCGAAGCATATTCAGCTGCGGTACGTCCTGCTACGTGAGTTACAGCAGCGTGGCCAGGCACGCGTAGTACGCTTGGTCTCAAAGACCAACACTGCTGATATCTTCACTAAGGCGCTTCTGCCTCGTGACCACCAGCGGTTCAGCACACATCTTGGCTTTGTCCCAGCATTTTCTCACTTGTTTTGATCGTGATCTCTTGTTTTTGTTTTATTATACTCATTTGCTAGCATTGCGGCCCTTTTGTCTTAAAGACTGGGTTAGTGGTATGGCAGTAAGTTGTACCTCATAGACTTTGTACTTCTTGCTAATTGACCTTGTTGCCTCTTGCTTCAATGGTTGGACTAGTGGTGTGTCTCACTTGTTAGGCGCAACCCCCTACCCTAACTAGGGGGTGTGTCAACGTACATATTTATATTTGTATGTGTACTATTGCAAGTTAGGTTGGGGTGCCCTATCGAGGGTAGAGGATTGCATATAGCCCCCCGTCTGTTCTCATTTTACTCATTCCATTCTCTTGTGGGTAGAGTTGGGTATGCGGATGACAACAGAGGTAATTGTGAGGTTTGGGCCTTCTATATGTTGTGCGACCTGGTGTGGGTGAAGAGGAGGGGGGAGAGGGGGGGAGGGGAGAGGGAGCGGGAGAGGGGGAGAGGGAGGGGAAAAAGTGGGGAGAAGAGGACAGAAGGGGAACGATGTTCATCATTAGGGCGGCAAGGTTTGAACTGGAAGTTGGGTGTGTGGATAATTTCTTACATGAGTGTGAGGCATGGGACTGTCATGCACTGAATGCGGCATAGCGTAGGGAATTTGGGGGAGGGGGGAGTGGGGGGGGGGGAGGTTTGGGGCGGGGGGCAAGGTGAAGGGAACGGGAAGAAGAGGAAAGGAGGAAGAAGATGGAAGACGATAAAATATGAGGGGAGGTGAGTAACCGATAGAGAGATGGGAATTTTGTTGGGGATTCAGAGTGGTGATTGGGAGTGGGGACTAGGAGAAGGAGCTGGAAGTGGGAGTTTGGGATGAATGTGTACCTGTTGCATTGGTGCATTCAATAAGATCAGCTCCCCCCCCAACAGCAACGGAAGCATCACATGTGCTTCCCCCATAGTAGTCAATTTCACTAGATGGGAGCCCTCCTCATGAGAAGCGCCTGGTGAAACACGTGAAAAAACATAACCTGCTGATGTTTCTGCTGCATATAAGAGAACGGGTGAGGATTCAGATATATGACGAGGACAAAGCCTTTGTGCCATGAGAGTGGGGGTGAGGGAGGAGGAAAATGAGGCGCTGTAGGAGGACTAGAGAGAGAGGGACTGGTTGAGAGTGAGAGAGTGCACGAAGGTGGAGAAAGGAGGGGAAGGGGAAGATGGATTTTCGCTGGTTGACTTGATGTATGAGGGGTGAGGGGGCGAATGAGAAGAGTGAGAGGAGGCGTAAGAGGAGAAGGAAACGAGCTTTCTTGAGAGAGCCTAGTTACAAGAGGGGTCGAGTGTAGGCACAGGTTTGGGCATGGGAGGTAGCCTCTGATGGTGAGGTGTTCAACCCAAGCCAGTCATTTTGAACGTAGGTGTTGTATGAGATGTAGAAGTTAACCTAGTAAGTAACATAGTTTAGCTACTGTTACGGGTGCAATGAATCGAAGTAGCGAGAATTGCACTAAGGTGTCAAACGAGTACAAAATGTGAGCGAAGGCATGAGCGAACATTTATACGCGAAACATGCAAACGGTAACGCGGTGCGTGCGAGCTAGCTAGTGCTACGCTGGCAGCGAGGCTCGGGCTAGTCCCGAAGCGTAGGCCGACACGGCCGGGCCAGCAGTGCGAGGTTTGGTGAAACAGTGCGCGCGAAGTCGGCGAAGCCCCGTTAGCAGTAACGGGCGAACAACGGCTGCTGCTGTACGCGATGTTGCAGGGTGCGCTAAGGAATATAGAGAAAATTCCTTACAGCTACCTGCATTGTACTTATTTGGATTCTACAGCTTGTGCCGCTTATCTGGGAGGTGCGCCTAGCTCCACAGTTGCGCTCCATCTCGCATGGCTACTTGAGGTCAAGGTTGCCGAAGCTCTTACGTTCGTTCGGTAAGTGTCAAGACAGTACATATCGACGGCTCACAAGATTGCAGTAAATCCGTACCTTCCATCGATGGCGATCACAGAGACACCACCAATAAGGCAACCCTTTGCGTTTCGGTCTCAACGGCAAGCGCAAAACCAACCACAATTGCGCCTCGACATATGCGATAGTCGATCACATATGCGACGCCTGCGACATTCGGAATTTGCAGACCTGCAGACCGTGAGATACAATTATGGGAAAAGATCATACAGGGGCCTAACAGTGCCAGGGAGGTGATCGAACAAGGGCCGAGAGGCCCGGAACTAACCAAACCACTGCGCAAAAAAGTATTTGCAGAGTGTCATCATTTATTTAACGTATGTCCGTTAACAGTTTGCATTCCAGCTCGCGCGTCATTTTTCATGGGAATATTTACTGATTCATCACCTTCCACCCAATAGCGTCGTTTAGCAAGCCAGAAACTCCTAGGGCAGCCAAAAAACTAAAACCCCGAGGGGAACCTTGATGCAATTTCGGGATGGATCAACCCTAAAAACGGGAACCTTCGTTGTGTTTAGGGTTGATGCCTCCCTAGTCGCATCCATTTCCAAATGGGTATTTTTTTTTTCTGCGCGTTTCTGATCAGGGAGTGATATTTATCACCCATAATGAATTTGTTTTTGGACTCACAAATTAACACAGCAATATTTACTTCCAGAAGAACGCGATGTGCGCGTAGTAGTAGACGGTGGTCGTAACCATTTTTTCAATAAGTTGGACACGAAGTTTTGTGCTGGTAGCATTTCTCTTTCAGTCACGGTTCGGCTTGTTCGCCTAGCCTCTTGGGCAGCTCGGGGTAGAAATCCTACGGTCGAGATTTTCTGGCCCTACTTCGGTCATCCCTCTGGCACTCTTCGGCCCCAGTTTGATCATTTCCTCACAATTATAGTAAAAACAGGGGCTGCTGCGACAATCACCATCGTGGAAGGGGCGACGATTAGGTAAACGTCGCGCAACAAATGGTTCGCTTCAGTCGGGCACCCCTCCGAACCGAAGGTCGTGATGGCATGTGCTTCACAATGGCCCTTGCGTGCATGCGTCACGTTCGGTGGCGCATTTACGGCTCCGCGCAACTAGAAGCCAAAGTTGGCTTGGCTCTCTATTTATTCAGTCCACAACCACTCCCATCTAACCGTCTCCCACATTCATTCGGTGCCCAGCAGTGCAGTAACTGCTGACTGACGTTCTCGTCTGTTTCAATTTCGGAATTCCCACGTGAGTGCAGTTCACTTTCTTCACCGTGACTGCTAATACTAGTAATGGCTTCGCTCCTCCGACTGGCGGTCATATTGCTGACCGTAGCCAGCGCGTCCCTCCTTCACACGACTACGGCGGACCTCCTGCTGAGGCCAGAGCGCGTGCCTCGCGCGCAGTTCCGCATTCGCTGCAACTTCAGCCACGCGCTGCGGGATGACCCCATCGTCTTCCCTGGGCAGCCCGGCAAGTCCCACCTGCACGACTTCCTCGGCAGCACGATCACCAAAGCCGACACCACCGATGGTCAGTACTGCCAATGCCAAAGCTTGCTGGGATCACAAGGCTCGCTCCACCACTCAACACGAGCGCGTGCTGGTTTCTAATTTCCTCCCTCATCAAACCCCTCTTGACCGTTTCTTTCCTCCCATCGTGCCACGCGACAGCCAGGGCGCTGGTGGGCAGCAAGACAACGTGCGGGCTGAAGGCGGACTCAGCAGCGTACTGGTTCCCGTCCATGTTCATGCGCACCAACCAGAAGGACGCCAAGGGCCAGTACATCTACAAGCACGTGAGTCATGCCACGCTGAATAATTCACACGCTTGGGGGCGCACGTCGGGAAGATTTTGCAACATGCAAAAGGAGGAGCAGAAAAAAAACCAAAACAAGGCGGAAACCAAACGGAAACGTTATGTTCTCGATACCCTTCGCTCTTCGTTCATGTGCGCGTGGATCATTTTTATTTTCTTCCTCCCCTCCCTTTCCACCTCCGCCCCTGTGCTGCAGTTAAAGCCCAACTGGACGCTCTTCTACTACCGCACGTCCGTCAAGAACCCGGAAACCATCATGCCCTTCCCGCGGGGCTTCCGGATGATCACAGGCAACCCATTCGCAGGATCTGTATGTTCCCCTCTCCCTTTTCGTCCTTCAAATAACATTTTGAGATTCGCAGTTTCTTGATTAAGCAATTTTGTCATTTTATAGAGAGTACTTGGTGTTCATTTCCCCTGCATACCGTCCCCAACTTCCCATCATTTTCTCGACACAGAAACAAGCTGACGACATGGCGAACGTGGAATGGTGGTGCGGCGCGCGCGGCAAGCACGGTAACGACTTCCCGCACCAGAAGTGTCCTGCAGGCGACCAGCTGATCGGCAAGATCAACTTCCCCGTGTGCTGGGACGGCAAGAACACCGACAGCGCGGATCACCGCAGCCACGTGGTGCACATCCCGCTCAACACCACGTGCCCGTCGTCCCACCCCGTGCCGCTGCCGCGCATCAGCATCAAGGTGTACTACCCCGTCGACACGGACCTCGACCTCACGTGGCCCGAGAACGGCGTCAAGGGCAACCCCGCTGTCTACCTCTCCACCATACAGAGCGGCGGCACGGGCAGCCCCTTTGAGTATCACAGCGACTTTATCAACGGGTGGGACCAGAAGGTGCTTGGCCGACTCGTGAGGAAGTGCATCAACCGCAACAAGAAGTGTCTCGTGCAGGAAGACAATCATGTGTAAACGCAGGAAAGCTGGGCGGTGGCATGTGAATGTGAAGGATGTAGTGGGTCTAGTGAGTTAAAATGTAGACTTGTTCACAACCTAGTGTGGGTGATGTTGGGAGATGCGTAGTCAGATGCGGGGTGTTTATGAAGGTCACGCACAGCTCGTGGGTGACGTTTCCTCTAGTCGAGTGATTTGGGAGGGGTTGGGTTGAGAGGAGGGAATTCATGCTGTGGCTCTGCTCATTTCGATGCAGTCCCGTGTGAACCACCGCCCTGTTACCCATGTTCTCTTTGTTAATTCCTGCGTTTGTAGAGTTGTGAGGCATCCACAAGGTATTGAATATTTACATGAATTACAGATGAGATGTACTGAACTGCTTTGGATAAGAGTAATCGTGACTGTCATTCCACGTCAATCACAACGCTTTCCTCGCTGGAGCAGCACTTGGGATTCGCCGTAGAATGTTGATGACTCGCACCGCGAATGGAAACCGCAGCTTGAATCATCGGCGGCGCACCATCGTCAGCGGAATCATGCGTTGCGGTCTTCAACTCTTGGGGTTTCCGCCAGAGCGGAAAAACCTTCAGCGCATCACACCATCGGTGTCCAAAATTTCAGGGAAGATTCAAACGTTCAATATTCAGCCATGTTATTGTATGTGGGTCGGTCCTCAAGACGGATGAGGGCGATTGAACATATCTGGCCTACCATCGTGCACCCTACTCTTCCAGCTTGGCAAACATGGGTAACCCCAAGAATCCACGCTCAGGGCGTCACTAACCTGGGCTGGCGAAACTTTTGTGCTCGTCTGTGTCGTCTGACTAGCCCCTGGCGACACTCACCGCTTTGACAATGGAAGGTTGCAGTGCGACTGTTTCCCATACATATCAATAGTCACAGATTTCAGTTACTACGTGGTATCCCAGTAACCTCTGTTTCCAGTTTGGTGTTCACTTTTTATGGAACAGCATCGAGTCGTCTGTCGCTTCCCGTAATTCCGCCCTTGCTTCAAATCCAAACTCCACCACACCACATCCCCTCGTAATTTTCCATTCTCATTTCGAGACCCAATCGGATCTGGCAAGCCTTCCAACTGCGTAGGCACTGCTGTTGCAATGGCGACTGCCACAATCAGCCCGCTCTTCGCGCATGCGCCTGCGGCTCTCGCGAGCAGTTCCGCCGCCTCGCCGCGAACTGGACTCAGAGCCTCGCCGTTCCTCCCGCGCCAGCGAGATGCCACAAGGCGCATCGTGCAATCACGTGGGGCAACCCGATGTGCAGTGGCTGACGTGGCAAGAAGAGAGGATGAGCGGAGCAACGATCAGCTGGGCGGAGATCTGCCTCAGGTGCGCGCGGGAAGCCATCGATGGCGCGCCAGCCTGTATGCATGACTAAACAATTCTGCTTCCGCGCCGCCACGGACATTCCTGGCATATTGCAAGGCGATTGGTCACACTTTAATGACACGTCACGAGGCGGGTTACATCTGTACGATGCAGGAAGGAGACGCCACTCTGTGCCATGCCTTGAATTCAGCTTCTCGCCTTTGCTGCCTTTTTATACGCTAATTCCGCCCCTAATCGACAATGATTTGGTGTTGGAATGTTTGCCGACTAAGAATCGGCGCGTGATTGGCCCCAATCCTGCTTTCCCAGGAGCAAGGTTCGCGTCTTGCACGCCAGCGGCCCTCAGTTCTTTCACTCCCCCTTCCATGCGCAGGCGGCCGATCAGTCAGCGCAGCTGGCGGCGGATCTGGCGGGCAACGGGTGGCGCAGCACGCGGCGCACGAAGCTGGTGTGCACCATCGGGCCGGCGTGCTGCGGCTTCGAGCAGATCGCGGCGCTGGCGGAGGGCGGCATGAACGTCGCGCGCATCAACATGTGCCACGGCACGCACGCGTGGCACCGGTAGGTCACGGCGCGCACGCGTGGCACCGAGAGGAGCCATGGCATGAGCGAGGGCTGAGTGGCATGGGTAGGGCATGGTGGATGGCACGGGCAGGACTCCCTGGCACAGGTGCAGCGAGAGGTGACGCACGGGGGGCACTCGAATGGCTCGCTGCAATTGGTGTCCATCTGCCGCCCACCACCACCATCGCCACGCGTCCCGTCGCCGCGTTCCATCGTCCACCATCCATCCATACCCATCCATGCCCTTGCTGCCGCGTGCCCCCCCCTCCCCCCCTCCCATGCGCGCAGGCAGGTGATGGCGGACATCCGGCGGCTGAACGAGGAGCGCGGGTACAGCGTGGCGGTGATGATGGACACGGAGGGCAGCGAGATCCACATGAGCGACCTCCAGGGCGCGCCCTCCGCTAAAGTCGCGGTCAGTCCCACCCCCAGGCATGCCGTGGCGTGGCGTGGTGTGGCGTGGCGTGGCTTGACGCGTGGTGGCATGCATGGGTGTTGGAAAGGGGTTGGGAATGAGAGGGGCTGCTGTGGGACTGGAGGGCAGGGTCGCTCACAGGTCAACGGTCAACAGGTCAACATGTCAGCAGGTCAACAGGTCAACAGCCCCAGCCTGTGGCATCCGCAGCCCTCGCACACCTCCGTCACCGCTCCCTCTCACTGCTCCCACCGTGCCCGCCTCCCTTCGCTCCCTCCCACTCCGCCCTCGCCCCCGTCTCGCCACCAGGAGGACGACGTGTGGACGTTCACGGTGCGCAAGTTCCCCGACGGCATGGCGCTGCCGCCCAACACCGTGCACGTCAACTACGACGGCTTCATTGACGGTGCGTGCCTCACGGGTTCATGCGCGCACAAGTTCATGTGTTGCCTTGCTGACGTGGTGGGGGCGCCGCTATTGTGTGGACACCTTCCCTTTACTTCCTCCACCTTCTCTGCTCCACGCTCCCACCACCCCAATTTTCCCAATACCCATCGCTTCCGCCCTCCCCTCTCCCCCCCCCACCTCTCATCAGACGTGAGGGAGGGCGACGAGTTGGTGGTGGATGGGGGCATGGCGCGGCTGCAGGTGGCGGCGCGCATGGGGCCCGACGTGGTGTGCAGTGTGCTGGACCCGGGGCTGCTGCTGCCACGCGCCAACCTCACCATCTTCCGCAACGGCCAGCTCGTGCGCGCCACCAACGCCATGCTGCCCACCATCTCCTCCAAGGTCAGCCCCTTGTGCCACTCTGCACCACCATGCACCACTCTGCACCACCATGCACCACCATGCCCTGCCGTGGACAGCCATGCACCACCCTGCACCATGACTTGATAATCCGACCATGCATCATCCCTGCCTCTCACGTCCATCGCTGCTGCATTCTGTCCTTCCATCCCCCCCTCGCCATCCGTCCCTCCCCCTGTGGCAGGACTGGATAGACATAGACTTTGGAATAGCGGAGGGGGTGGACTTCATAGCCATCTCCTTCGTGCGCTCGCCTGAGGTCGTCACTCACCTCCGCAGCTACGTCAACGCGCGCTCGCCCTCCCGGTGCGTGCCGTGTGGTGGCTGTGGTGCAGGTGGGTGCAGCTGTCTCGACTCCGTTGCATCACACTCATTCACCCGCACCTCTCTCATCCACCTGTGCGCCGCCTTCCTCCTGGGTACCTGCCACCATAAGTTCACAGCACCTGCCTCTTCACCTCCTCACTTCCTCTCTCCGCTTTCACCCATCATCACCACACCCCCCTTCCTCACTCCCCTCCTCCGTCTTCCTGTCTTCCCCCAGCCCCATAGCGCTGATAGCCAAGATAGAGAGTGTGGAGGCGGTGGGGCGGCTGGAGGAGATCATAGCGGCGTCGGACGGGGCGATGGTGGCGAGGGGCGACCTGGGCGCGCAGGTGCCGCTGGAGGAGGTGCCGGGCGTGCAGCAGGACATGGTGGACATCTGCCGCGCCCTCAACAAGCCTGTCATCGTCGCCTCGCACCTCCTCGAGTCCATGATCGAGTTCCCCATCCCCACCCGCGCTGAGGTGTGATCGAGTTCCCCATCCCCACCCGCGCTGAGGTGTGATCGAGTTCCCCATCCCCACCCGCGCTGAGGTGTGATCGAGTTCCCCATCCCCACCCGCGCTGAGGTGTGATCGAGTTCCCCATCCCCACCCGCGCTGAGGTGTGATCGAGTTCCCCATCCCCACCCGCGCTGAGGTGTGATCGAGTTCCCCATCCCCACCCGCGCTGAGGTGTGATCGAGTTCCCCATCCCCACCCGCGCTGAGGTGTGATCGAGTTCCCCATCCCCACCCGCGCTGAGGTGTGATCGAGTTCCCCATCCCCACCCGCGCTGAGGTGTGATCGAGTTCCCCATCCCCACCCGCGCTGAGGTGTGATCGAGTTCCCCATCCCCACCCGCGCTGAGGTGTGATCGAGTTCCCCATCCCCACCCGCGCTGAGGTGTGATCGAGTTCCCCATCCCCACCCGCGCTGAGGTGTGATCGAGTTCCCCATCCCCACCCGCGCTGAGGTGTGATCGAGTTCCCCATCCCCACCCGCGCTGAGGTGTGATCGAGTTCCCCATCCCCACCCGCGCTGAGGTGTGATCGAGTTCCCCATCCCCACCCGCGCTGAGGTGTGATCGAGTTCCCCATCCCCACCCGCGCTGAGGTGTGATCGAGTTCCCCATCCCCACCCGCGCTGAGGTGTGATCGAGTTCCCCATCCCCACCCGCGCTGAGGTGTGATCGAGTTCCCCATCCCCACCCGCGCTGAGGTGTGATCGAGTTCCCCATCCCCACCCGCGCTGAGGTGTGATCGAGTTCCCCATCCCCACCCGCGCTGAGGTGTGATCGAGTTCCCCATCCCCACCCGCGCTGAGGTGTGATCGAGTTCCCCATCCCCACCCGCGCTGAGGTGTGATCGAGTTCCCCATCCCCACCCGCGCTGAGGTGTGATCGAGTTCCCCATCCCCACCCGCGCTGAGGTGTGATCGAGTTCCCCATCCCCACCCGCGCTGAGGTGTGATCGAGTTCCCCATCCCCACCCGCGCTGAGGTGTGATCGAGTTCCCCATCCCCACCCGCGCTGAGGTGTGATCGAGTTCCCCATCCCCACCCGCGCTGAGGTGTGATCGAGTTCCCCATCCCCACCCGCGCTGAGGTGTGATCGAGTTCCCCATCCCCACCCGCGCTGAGGTGTGATCGAGTTCCCCATCCCCACCCGCGCTGAGGTGTGATCGAGTTCCCCATCCCCACCCGCGCTGAGGTGTGATCGAGTTCCCCATCCCCACCCGCGCTGAGGTGTGATCGAGTTCCCCATCCCCACCCGCGCTGAGGTGTGATCGAGTTCCCCATCCCCACCCGCGCTGAGGTGTGATCGAGTTCCCCATCCCCACCCGCGCTGAGGTGTGATCGAGTTCCCCATCCCCACCCGCGCTGAGGTGTGATCGAGTTCCCCATCCCCACCCGCGCTGAGGTGTGATCGAGTTCCCCATCCCCACCCGCGCTGAGGTGTGATCGAGTTCCCCATCCCCACCCGCGCTGAGGTGTGATCGAGTTCCCCATCCCCACCCGCGCTGAGGTGTGATCGAGTTCCCCATCCCCACCCGCGCTGAGGTGTGATCGAGTTCCCCATCCCCACCCGCGCTGAGGTGTGATCGAGTTCCCCATCCCCACCCGCGCTGAGGTGTGATCGAGTTCCCCATCCCCACCCGCGCTGAGGTGTGATCGAGTTCCCCATCCCCACCCGCGCTGAGGTGTGATCGAGTTCCCCATCCCCACCCGCGCTGAGGTGTGATCGAGTTCCCCATCCCCACCCGCGCTGAGGTGTGATCGAGTTCCCCATCCCCACCCGCGCTGAGGTGTGATCGAGTTCCCCATCCCCACCCGCGCTGAGGTGTGATCGAGTTCCCCATCCCCACCCGCGCTGAGGTGTGATCGAGTTCCCCATCCCCACCCGCGCTGAGGTGTGATCGAGTTCCCCATCCCCACCCGCGCTGAGGTGTGATCGAGTTCCCCATCCCCACCCGCGCTGAGGTGTGATCGAGTTCCCCATCCCCACCCGCGCTGAGGTGTGATCGAGTTCCCCATCCCCACCCGCGCTGAGGTGTGATCGAGTTCCCCATCCCCACCCGCGCTGAGGTGTGATCGAGTTCCCCATCCCCACCCGCGCTGAGGTGTGATCGAGTTCCCCATCCCCACCCGCGCTGAGGTGTGATCGAGTTCCCCATCCCCACCCGCGCTGAGGTGTGATCGAGTTCCCCATCCCCACCCGCGCTGAGGTGTGATCGAGTTCCCCATCCCCACCCGCGCTGAGGTGTGATCGAGTTCCCCATCCCCACCCGCGCTGAGGTGTGATCGAGTTCCCCATCCCCACCCGCGCTGAGGTGTGATCGAGTTCCCCATCCCCACCCGCGCTGAGGTGTGATCGAGTTCCCCATCCCCACCCGCGCTGAGGTGTGATCGAGTTCCCCATCCCCACCCGCGCTGAGGTGTGATCGAGTTCCCCATCCCCACCCGCGCTGAGGTGTGATCGAGTTCCCCATCCCCACCCGCGCTGAGGTGTGATCGAGTTCCCCATCCCCACCCGCGCTGAGGTGTGATCGAGTTCCCCATCCCCACCCGCGCTGAGGTGTGATCGAGTTCCCCATCCCCACCCGCGCTGAGGTGTGATCGAGTTCCCCATCCCCACCCGCGCTGAGGTGTGATCGAGTTCCCCATCCCCACCCGCGCTGAGGTGTGATCGAGTTCCCCATCCCCACCCGCGCTGAGGTGTGATCGAGTTCCCCATCCCCACCCGCGCTGAGGTGTGATCGAGTTCCCCATCCCCACCCGCGCTGAGGTGTGATCGAGTTCCCCATCCCCACCCGCGCTGAGGTGTGATCGAGTTCCCCATCCCCACCCGCGCTGAGGTGTGATCGAGTTCCCCATCCCCACCCGCGCTGAGGTGTGATCGAGTTCCCCATCCCCACCCGCGCTGAGGTGTGATCGAGTTCCCCATCCCCACCCGCGCTGAGGTGTGATCGAGTTCCCCATCCCCACCCGCGCTGAGGTGTGATCGAGTTCCCCATCCCCACCCGCGCTGAGGTGTGATCGAGTTCCCCATCCCCACCCGCGCTGAGGTGTGATCGAGTTCCCCATCCCCACCCGCGCTGAGGTGTGATCGAGTTCCCCATCCCCACCCGCGCTGAGGTGTGATCGAGTTCCCCATCCCCACCCGCGCTGAGGTGTGATCGAGTTCCCCATCCCCACCCGCGCTGAGGTGTGATCGAGTTCCCCATCCCCACCCGCGCTGAGGTGTGATCGAGTTCCCCATCCCCACCCGCGCTGAGGTGTGATCGAGTTCCCCATCCCCACCCGCGCTGAGGTGTGATCGAGTTCCCCATCCCCACCCGCGCTGAGGTGTGATCGAGTTCCCCATCCCCACCCGCGCTGAGGTGTGATCGAGTTCCCCATCCCCACCCGCGCTGAGGTGTGATCGAGTTCCCCATCCCCACCCGCGCTGAGGTGTGATCGAGTTCCCCATCCCCACCCGCGCTGAGGTGTGATCGAGTTCCCCATCCCCACCCGCGCTGAGGTGTGATCGAGTTCCCCATCCCCACCCGCGCTGAGGTGTGATCGAGTTCCCCATCCCCACCCGCGCTGAGGTGTGATCGAGTTCCCCATCCCCACCCGCGCTGAGGTGTGATCGAGTTCCCCATCCCCACCCGCGCTGAGGTGTGATCGAGTTCCCCATCCCCACCCGCGCTGAGGTGTGATCGAGTTCCCCATCCCCACCCGCGCTGAGGTGTGATCGAGTTCCCCATCCCCACCCGCGCTGAGGTGTGATCGAGTTCCCCATCCCCACCCGCGCTGAGGTGTGATCGAGTTCCCCATCCCCACCCGCGCTGAGGTGTGATCGAGTTCCCCATCCCCACCCGCGCTGAGGTGTGATCGAGTTCCCCATCCCCACCCGCGCTGAGGTGTGATCGAGTTCCCCATCCCCACCCGCGCTGAGGTGTGATCGAGTTCCCCATCCCCACCCGCGCTGAGGTGTGATCGAGTTCCCCATCCCCACCCGCGCTGAGGTGTGATCGAGTTCCCCATCCCCACCCGCGCTGAGGTGTGATCGAGTTCCCCATCCCCACCCGCGCTGAGGTGTGATCGAGTTCCCCATCCCCACCCGCGCTGAGGTGTGATCGAGTTCCCCATCCCCACCCGCGCTGAGGTGTGATCGAGTTCCCCATCCCCACCCGCGCTGAGGTGTGATCGAGTTCCCCATCCCCACCCGCGCTGAGGTGTGATCGAGTTCCCCATCCCCACCCGCGCTGAGGTGTGATCGAGTTCCCCATCCCCACCCGCGCTGAGGTGTGATCGAGTTCCCCATCCCCACCCGCGCTGAGGTGTGATCGAGTTCCCCATCCCCACCCGCGCTGAGGTGTGATCGAGTTCCCCATCCCCACCCGCGCTGAGGTGTGATCGAGTTCCCCATCCCCACCCGCGCTGAGGTGTGATCGAGTTCCCCATCCCCACCCGCGCTGAGGTGTGATCGAGTTCCCCATCCCCACCCGCGCTGAGGTGTGATCGAGTTCCCCATCCCCACCCGCGCTGAGGTGTGATCGAGTTCCCCATCCCCACCCGCGCTGAGGTGTGATCGAGTTCCCCATCCCCACCCGCGCTGAGGTGTGATCGAGTTCCCCATCCCCACCCGCGCTGAGGTGTGATCGAGTTCCCCATCCCCACCCGCGCTGAGGTGTGATCGAGTTCCCCATCCCCACCCGCGCTGAGGTGTGATCGAGTTCCCCATCCCCACCCGCGCTGAGGTGTGATCGAGTTCCCCATCCCCACCCGCGCTGAGGTGTGATCGAGTTCCCCATCCCCACCCGCGCTGAGGTGTGATCGAGTTCCCCATCCCCACCCGCGCTGAGGTGTGATCGAGTTCCCCATCCCCACCCGCGCTGAGGTGTGATCGAGTTCCCCATCCCCACCCGCGCTGAGGTGTGATCGAGTTCCCCATCCCCACCCGCGCTGAGGTGTGATCGAGTTCCCCATCCCCACCCGCGCTGAGGTGTGATCGAGTTCCCCATCCCCACCCGCGCTGAGGTGTGATCGAGTTCCCCATCCCCACCCGCGCTGAGGTGTGATCGAGTTCCCCATCCCCACCCGCGCTGAGGTGTGATCGAGTTCCCCATCCCCACCCGCGCTGAGGTGTGATCGAGTTCCCCATCCCCACCCGCGCTGAGGTGTGATCGAGTTCCCCATCCCCACCCGCGCTGAGGTGTGATCGAGTTCCCCATCCCCACCCGCGCTGAGGTGTGATCGAGTTCCCCATCCCCACCCGCGCTGAGGTGTGATCGAGTTCCCCATCCCCACCCGCGCTGAGGTGTGATCGAGTTCCCCATCCCCACCCGCGCTGAGGTGTGATCGAGTTCCCCATCCCCACCCGCGCTGAGGTGTGATCGAGTTCCCCATCCCCACCCGCGCTGAGGTGTGATCGAGTTCCCCATCCCCACCCGCGCTGAGGTGTGATCGAGTTCCCCATCCCCACCCGCGCTGAGGTGTGATCGAGTTCCCCATCCCCACCCGCGCTGAGGTGTGATCGAGTTCCCCATCCCCACCCGCGCTGAGGTGTGATCGAGTTCCCCATCCCCACCCGCGCTGAGGTGTGATCGAGTTCCCCATCCCCACCCGCGCTGAGGTGTGATCGAGTTCCCCATCCCCACCCGCGCTGAGGTGTGATCGAGTTCCCCATCCCCACCCGCGCTGAGGTGTGATCGAGTTCCCCATCCCCACCCGCGCTGAGGTGTGATCGAGTTCCCCATCCCCACCCGCGCTGAGGTGTGATCGAGTTCCCCATCCCCACCCGCGCTGAGGTGTGATCGAGTTCCCCATCCCCACCCGCGCTGAGGTGTGATCGAGTTCCCCATCCCCACCCGCGCTGAGGTGTGATCGAGTTCCCCATCCCCACCCGCGCTGAGGTGTGATCGAGTTCCCCATCCCCACCCGCGCTGAGGTGTGATCGAGTTCCCCATCCCCACCCGCGCTGAGGTGTGATCGAGTTCCCCATCCCCACCCGCGCTGAGGTGTGATCGAGTTCCCCATCCCCACCCGCGCTGAGGTGTGATCGAGTTCCCCATCCCCACCCGCGCTGAGGTGTGATCGAGTTCCCCATCCCCACCCGCGCTGAGGTGTGATCGAGTTCCCCATCCCCACCCGCGCTGAGGTGTGATCGAGTTCCCCATCCCCACCCGCGCTGAGGTGTGATCGAGTTCCCCATCCCCACCCGCGCTGAGGTGTGATCGAGTTCCCCATCCCCACCCGCGCTGAGGTGTGATCGAGTTCCCCATCCCCACCCGCGCTGAGGTGTGATCGAGTTCCCCATCCCCACCCGCGCTGAGGTGTGATCGAGTTCCCCATCCCCACCCGCGCTGAGGTGTGATCGAGTTCCCCATCCCCACCCGCGCTGAGGTGTGATCGAGTTCCCCATCCCCACCCGCGCTGAGGTGTGATCGAGTTCCCCATCCCCACCCGCGCTGAGGTGTGATCGAGTTCCCCATCCCCACCCGCGCTGAGGTGTGATCGAGTTCCCCATCCCCACCCGCGCTGAGGTGTGATCGAGTTCCCCATCCCCACCCGCGCTGAGGTGTGATCGAGTTCCCCATCCCCACCCGCGCTGAGGTGTGATCGAGTTCCCCATCCCCACCCGCGCTGAGGTGTGATCGAGTTCCCCATCCCCACCCGCGCTGAGGTGTGATCGAGTTCCCCATCCCCACCCGCGCTGAGGTGTGATCGAGTTCCCCATCCCCACCCGCGCTGAGGTGTGATCGAGTTCCCCATCCCCACCCGCGCTGAGGTGTGATCGAGTTCCCCATCCCCACCCGCGCTGAGGTGTGATCGAGTTCCCCATCCCCACCCGCGCTGAGGTGTGATCGAGTTCCCCATCCCCACCCGCGCTGAGGTGTGATCGAGTTCCCCATCCCCACCCGCGCTGAGGTGTGATCGAGTTCCCCATCCCCACCCGCGCTGAGGTGTGATCGAGTTCCCCATCCCCACCCGCGCTGAGGTGTGATCGAGTTCCCCATCCCCACCCGCGCTGAGGTGTGATCGAGTTCCCCATCCCCACCCGCGCTGAGGTGTGATCGAGTTCCCCATCCCCACCCGCGCTGAGGTGTGATCGAGTTCCCCATCCCCACCCGCGCTGAGGTGTGATCGAGTTCCCCATCCCCACCCGCGCTGAGGTGTGATCGAGTTCCCCATCCCCACCCGCGCTGAGGTGTGATCGAGTTCCCCATCCCCACCCGCGCTGAGGTGTGATCGAGTTCCCCATCCCCACCCGCGCTGAGGTGTGATCGAGTTCCCCATCCCCACCCGCGCTGAGGTGTGATCGAGTTCCCCATCCCCACCCGCGCTGAGGTGTGATCGAGTTCCCCATCCCCACCCGCGCTGAGGTGTGATCGAGTTCCCCATCCCCACCCGCGCTGAGGTGTGATCGAGTTCCCCATCCCCACCCGCGCTGAGGTGTGATCGAGTTCCCCATCCCCACCCGCGCTGAGGTGTGATCGAGTTCCCCATCCCCACCCGCGCTGAGGTGTGATCGAGTTCCCCATCCCCACCCGCGCTGAGGTGTGATCGAGTTCCCCATCCCCACCCGCGCTGAGGTGTGATCGAGTTCCCCATCCCCACCCGCGCTGAGGTGTGATCGAGTTCCCCATCCCCACCCGCGCTGAGGTGTGATCGAGTTCCCCATCCCCACCCGCGCTGAGGTGTGATCGAGTTCCCCATCCCCACCCGCGCTGAGGTGTGATCGAGTTCCCCATCCCCACCCGCGCTGAGGTGTGATCGAGTTCCCCATCCCCACCCGCGCTGAGGTGTGATCGAGTTCCCCATCCCCACCCGCGCTGAGGTGTGATCGAGTTCCCCATCCCCACCCGCGCTGAGGTGTGATCGAGTTCCCCATCCCCACCCGCGCTGAGGTGTGATCGAGTTCCCCATCCCCACCCGCGCTGAGGTGTGATCGAGTTCCCCATCCCCACCCGCGCTGAGGTGTGATCGAGTTCCCCATCCCCACCCGCGCTGAGGTGTGATCGAGTTCCCCATCCCCACCCGCGCTGAGGTGTGATCGAGTTCCCCATCCCCACCCGCGCTGAGGTGTGATCGAGTTCCCCATCCCCACCCGCGCTGAGGTGTGATCGAGTTCCCCATCCCCACCCGCGCTGAGGTGTGATCGAGTTCCCCATCCCCACCCGCGCTGAGGTGTGATCGAGTTCCCCATCCCCACCCGCGCTGAGGTGTGATCGAGTTCCCCATCCCCACCCGCGCTGAGGTGTGATCGAGTTCCCCATCCCCACCCGCGCTGAGGTGTGATCGAGTTCCCCATCCCCACCCGCGCTGAGGTGTGATCGAGTTCCCCATCCCCACCCGCGCTGAGGTGTGATCGAGTTCCCCATCCCCACCCGCGCTGAGGTGTGATCGAGTTCCCCATCCCCACCCGCGCTGAGGTGTGATCGAGTTCCCCATCCCCACCCGCGCTGAGGTGTGATCGAGTTCCCCATCCCCACCCGCGCTGAGGTGTGATCGAGTTCCCCATCCCCACCCGCGCTGAGGTGTGATCGAGTTCCCCATCCCCACCCGCGCTGAGGTGTGATCGAGTTCCCCATCCCCACCCGCGCTGAGGTGTGATCGAGTTCCCCATCCCCACCCGCGCTGAGGTGTGATCGAGTTCCCCATCCCCACCCGCGCTGAGGTGTGATCGAGTTCCCCATCCCCACCCGCGCTGAGGTGTGATCGAGTTCCCCATCCCCACCCGCGCTGAGGTGTGATCGAGTTCCCCATCCCCACCCGCGCTGAGGTGTGATCGAGTTCCCCATCCCCACCCGCGCTGAGGTGTGATCGAGTTCCCCATCCCCACCCGCGCTGAGGTGTGATCGAGTTCCCCATCCCCACCCGCGCTGAGGTGTGATCGAGTTCCCCATCCCCACCCGCGCTGAGGTGTGATCGAGTTCCCCATCCCCACCCGCGCTGAGGTGTGATCGAGTTCCCCATCCCCACCCGCGCTGAGGTGTGATCGAGTTCCCCATCCCCACCCGCGCTGAGGTGTGATCGAGTTCCCCATCCCCACCCGCGCTGAGGTGTGATCGAGTTCCCCATCCCCACCCGCGCTGAGGTGTGATCGAGTTCCCCATCCCCACCCGCGCTGAGGTGTGATCGAGTTCCCCATCCCCACCCGCGCTGAGGTGTGATCGAGTTCCCCATCCCCACCCGCGCTGAGGTGTGATCGAGTTCCCCATCCCCACCCGCGCTGAGGTGTGATCGAGTTCCCCATCCCCACCCGCGCTGAGGTGTGATCGAGTTCCCCATCCCCACCCGCGCTGAGGTGTGATCGAGTTCCCCATCCCCACCCGCGCTGAGGTGCGCCCCCCCAATCGGAGGTGCGCCCCCCCAAGCGCTGCGCACTGCCTGCGTGCACGCATGCAACACTGCACCTGATTTGGCATCCCCCATCCGCTCTCCCCCCTCCGCCTCCCCATCCCCTCCCCCCATCCCCCCCCCCTGCAGGTGGCGGACACGGCGGAGGCGGTGCATCAGCAGGCGGACGCGCTGATGCTGTCGGGGGAGTCGGCCATGGGGCAGTTCCCTCTTAAAGCCCTCGACGTGCTGCGCACCGTTGCAGAGCGCTTCGAGGCCATCGAGGAGGGGCAGGGCGGATACGAGGGGGGCCCCGGTGCGGCGGCCACGGACGGGCGCACGGCGGTGGAGCGCGTGGCGCTGCTGCCGGAGCTCTCGCACTCGCTGCGGGACCGCATGTCCGAACAGATCTGCGCCGCTGCTGCTCAGATGGGTGCGTGCCGCCCCACTGCCTGTGTGGCGCCGAGCGCAGGGGGTGGTTGGTGATTGCAGCGTGGAGGGTGCATGTCTCGTCATCCCAGGGATACATTCAACTGCACATGTACCCCACACTACCTCAATACCTTCCCATTCTCTCCCTGTGTTCGCCTCCTCTCGCCATTCTCCCCCCTCCCCGTGCCCACTCTGTGCAGCCATGCGTCTGGGGGCAAAGGCAATAATCGCCTTCACCCAAAGGGGCTACATGGCGTCGTTGCTTTCGCGCTGCCGCCCCAACTGCCCCATCTTTGCCGTCACGCCCTCCCAGGTACGCCCTCCCAGGTACGCCCTCCCAGGTACGCCCTCCCAGGTACGCCCTCCCAGGTACTCCCTACCCCTGTTGCAACGTATCTTGTATAGATGCCTTGCAATGTGCTCTAACCAACTTCCACCTGCCTCCTCCCCCTCCTGGGCTCATTGCGTTCACCTTCCCGCTCACCCTCCGCGGCCCTGTCCTGCTCAACCCCTCCTTCCCCTCCACCAGGCGGTGAGGCAGCACATGAGTGTGTACTGGGGCCTCGTGCCATTCCGCCTCGACCTCTCAGACGACGCCGAGGACAACATGCGGCGAGCCTTCGCCGTGCTCAAGGTGGGTGGGGCAGAGGGGCAGGGCAGGCGGTGAGGTGTGCGAGCATGATGTGTACGAGCGTGAGGTCTACATGATCCACGGGATGACCCTGCCTTCACACTGCGGGTCTGAATCTGCTGTGCCGAACGGGTTGCAGGGATTGAGTCCAGCACTCTACAGTCCTTCCACTCCACCTCCCTCTCTGCCTTGCACTTCCCTCCCCTCCTCCCTCCTCTCTGCCACTCTTCGCCTCTCCCTCTCACAGCACCACGCCGTTTCCCCCTCTCAGCCACTCCCCCACCCCTCTTTTACAACCCCTCGCGTCGCCCCCGCCCCAACCCGTCCCCCACCCCCCCAGGCGAGGGGCCTGGTGGCAGAGGGCGATCTCATCATCGCCGTCTCTGACGTGGCGGGCGGGCAGGAGGCCGTGGGGGCCAGGCAAAGCGTGCAGGTCCGCAAGGTGCTGTGACCTGCTGTGCGCTGCTGTGCGGTGCTGTGAAAGTGAGGCACACACGCGCCCAGCAGGGACCTGCTGTGAGGTGACACCCTTGCTGGGCGTCTCTTTTTATGTGCTCAGTTGCATGCTGCATGCTGCAGCAGGGAGGGCAGGGGGGGAAGGCAGCCTGTAGTGCAAGCAGCCCTCACACGCTCCACTCCACCAGAGGCTGCCGTCGGCTCTAGGCTGACGGCGTAGTGTGGCACTGCGGCCATCCACCCGTATGGCTTGCTGCCCGTGCTATGTAAGTTCAATAATGGTGGGAAAGTGATTCTTCCTGGTTTGCAACGGCACTTGCTTCAAAGCATACTGCCTCTAGCCGTACAAATTGGTGTTGTAGGTGAACTGAACTGCTTTAGTCTCAATGCTTGTCCATGATATCAAGAGATAGGTTGTGCACAACACGATGCTGTGACATACATACAGCTTCAGAGAAGTTACAATACATGATAGACATTTCAGAATCCCCGCCTTCCCTTCTACGGTACTCCGAAACCCCAACCATGTTGTCAATGCCCTCAACCGAGCCTTTAGAATTGTTACTGTGTGTTATAAATGAAGAAAGTGACGTGACGCAGCACACCCATTTAGATGAATCCTTCCAGTTAATCCATGCCTCTAGTTGACCTTGGGTTTGATCTTCCTCTTGCGCAGCAGCACACAGAGCAGCAGCAGCAACAGCACAGACAGGCAGCAGAGCAGCGGCAGCAGCCCTCCTCGCACCTGCAGGCGCCGCTGCTTGGTGCAGCGAGCCGGGTGCAGCAGCGCCACCACCTCCCGCACCTCCCCCTCCCACCTGCGTGTGTGGGGTGGGGTGGCATGGGGGTTGGTGTGGCAGAGTGTGGTGGGGTTGCAGGAGAGAAAACGGGTAACGATGATCCAGGCCCAGGGCGAGGAGGTGGGAACGGGCAAGGGGAGCGGGAGCAGCAGCACTCACATAACACACCGCACACGCCAAGCCCCTCGCCTCCCATCACAGCCCCATCACCCCAGCACCATACCTTGCAGCAGCGGTCTCAATGCCTGGCAGCAGGTGCAGCGCGCCCCCATAGTCCATGGCCTCCACCGCTGCCGCCACGCGCCGCCACCCCTCCACCACCGCATTGTACTGCCCCGCTAGCTGCCGCTCCCACCGCTTGAACACCGCATACGTGTCCTCGTCTGATTGGATGGAGTGGAAAGGGAAGGGGGGAGAGGGGGTGGGTCATGCTGTAACACCGTAGCCATGACTGTAGCAACGATGAGAACCGAAAAGTGCAGATGAGGCGTGGTGACTGCATGGAAGAACGACGACAGCAAACGGCGTATCACTCCACGCAGCAGCAGCACAAACAACCATGGTCCCTTGAGCAGCACAACACTCGGCACACCCAGCACCCAACAAGTTGTAGCACAGCGCACATACATCCCAGCAGACAGGTAGGTACACAGGCAGGCGAGGGGGAACTCACTGGTGGTCTCAGCAGCGAGGTGTGCAATGGCACGGTTGACGGTGGCAACAGCCTCGTCCAGCGCTGTCACCACGAATGACCGCGCCATGGCGTCCTGTTGCAGTGATGACACATGAGCGCTGCTCGCCCCTCCTCCTCCCAGCAGGCCCCCTCCGATGGCCGCCAAGGGATGCCCCCCCGCCGCCCACCGCCAGTCCTGCATGGGTGCAGTGCGGTTGAGAGGTGGTGGATTGTGGTAGGGTGAGGTAGTGGGGTCAGGGTAGAAATGATGAGGTCTCGTGAAACAGAACAAGGTACCTGAGGGAACCACCACCTAACATTCAGCACACAATCTATGAAAGCCACCACAAAGTCACCTGAGAGGCATCACAAGAATCACCTGAGAGGCAGCACAAGAATCACCTGAGAGGCAGCACAAGAATCACCTGAGAGGCATCACAAGAATCACCTGAGAGGCAGCACAAGAATCACCTGAGAGGCAGCACAAGAATCACCTGAGAGGCAGCACAAGAATCACCTGAGAGGCATCACAAGAATCACCTGAGAGGCATCAAGGGAATGACCTGAACGACAGAGGAGTGGGCGGCGGAGAAGGAAATGTGAGCTGGCAGTAGCCCTGCCAGGTGCTCCATTGTGGCCGCTAGCACTGCTGCCAGGGGGTCACTGGGAGGGGAAGGAGTGGGGAGGAGGGCAGGGGGGAGAAGGAGCAGGAAAGAGTGAGATTTGGGAATGAGGAATAGGGGAAACGAGGTATGAGAATGGTAAAAAGGGGGCGGAACTGGTGGCATGGCGTGATGGTGGCAGCGCAGGCTGGCTGGCACACTGCACTCGGCAGCATAACACAACACAGCCCAGACCTGGGGTGACCCCAAACCCATGGTCACACAGAGCAGCAAGCAGGCGTGCATGTGACACCCACCGCAGGTCAGCGTGCATCTCTTTGCCGTTGCAGGTGACGCCGGTGGGCCAGTGGCGCTGCGGCAGCTGCACTGAGAGCACCATGTCGGGCAGTGACTTGGCGAGCAGCGATTGGTCGATGAGGATGGGGTCGGACGCGATGGCGAAGAAGAACACCGGCACGTCCAGCTGCGCGCGCTCCCCCCGACTGCGCTTCACTGCACACGGGTGGATGGAGGGACGAGAGGCACAGAGGGTGTAGCGGTGGACGCGGAATGGATGTCAGAGAGGTGCGCAAGGATGTGAAGCGTGCTGAGGGCTGTAAAACGGGATGGGGGAGGCAGAGGGAAAAGAGATGCCGAGTGCATGCGACTGGGGAGAGGAGAAGCAAGGAAGGAGGTGAGTAAGCAGGAGAGAGGGAATCGAGCGGTGTGAAGATGAGGAGGCGAGGAGGAGGTGGTGTGGCGTCATGCAATGAGGCCCCGCAGCGAGTCCCAGCACATCTCGTGTCCCATCCCTGCTGTCTCACATCGCTGCAGGCTGTCGTCCCCCAGCGAGCGCAGCTGGTGCTGCAGCACGTGCGAGTCCACGTACAGCTGCACGCGCCCCCCCGCTGACGCCTTGCCACCCGCGGACGCGGAGGGCAGCACGGCGGCGCGCAGCGAGGCGGAGAAAGCCGTCGCCAGGGCCGCGTCCTCCGCCACTGACAGCCTGGGGGGGGAACAGGGGGACGAGGGGAGGTGGGAGGCGGGGGGGTGGTGAGGAAAGGTAGGGGCGAGAAAGGAAGGGGTGAAGTGGATGGAGGCGGAGAAGGCCGTTGCCAGGGCCGCGTCCTCCGCCACTGACAGCCTGGCGGGCAGAGGGTCGCGGGTGGAAGGTGGGGGGCGGATGGGGTGGTGAGGGGAGGTTGGGGCGAGTGGGACAGGTGGGTGGTGGCAGTGGGTGCGGTGAGATGTGAGCGGCATGTCAGGAAGCCCAGGCAAAGGAAGCAGGAGGTAATGCGAGTGGAGATGAGCAGCAGCCTGGCTTTCACCACCCGCCCCACGTGCACTCACGCACCGGTAGGTGGAGAAGTGGAAGCGCTGGCCCGGCAGGCTCAGCTTCTGCACCTCCGCCTTGAAGTCCTCCACGTACTGCGGGGTGTGGCGCCTCTCGTAGTACGCCTGGCAGAGGGGCATGCGCGAGGGGAGAAGGGTTGGCCATGCATGAGGTCGCAGTTGTGATGTGATGTGCACCCATGCAGGCTTGCCATCGCTATCTCTTCACCTGATGCCATGCCAAGCCACGTCAGCCATGCCACGCCTTGCCACACCATGCCACGTCACCACAAGCGCCCCACCTGGTGGGAGATGATGTAGAGGTGGAAGGACACGCGCTCGTAGAAGTGGTACGCGCCAGCAGCCGTGGACGGCGTGATGACGTGGCGCATGGCGGACGCCAGCGTGGCCGCCAGCTCAGCCATGAGCATGTCCCACGCACGCGTCACTGCAGGGCTGCTCTCCCCCGCCTCGCCCTTGCCCGCATGCCTGTCGGGCGGCACGCTTTGGAACTTCCAGCTGTGCAGGCGCTCCAGTGCCGCCCGCACGCTGCGGCCCGTGAAGACGCTGCCGGCCATGCCACTGCCGCCCTGGTGCTTGGCGAGGTCGTCCTTCACCTCCTCCAGCTTCTGCTGCAGCTCTGCACGCGCACACACGCGGGACAAGGGCGAGGCCGGCACGAGGGGTGCAGTGGTGTTGGTGGGCACTGGAAACATGGCGGTGCTCTTGGTGCGTGCACCCAACATGCACCACCCAACCCAAACCATCCGCCCCCATTGAAGCAAGCATCATGCAATGCATGCACGAAAGCAGGACCAACCACCCCTTGCACCCACCCACCCACCGCGGCAGAGAGCGCTGGGAACGGCGCGGTGAGAGCAGTGGCGGGCGGCGAAGGCGTGGTAGACGTCGAGCTCCGCCAGCAGCACGTCCACCGCGTGCTGCCCCTCCCCGCCCTCCCCCTCGCCCTCCTCCACCGCCTCCAGCCGCTCCTCTGCCATGCGCTCCAGGCGCCCCCTCAGGTCGCCCTCCCACGCCTCTGCTCGCCGCACAGCGCACACACGTGGGGGTGGTCGATTGAGAGGACACGACAGCAAGGGGTTGACTGGGAGAGCCACACGGTGACATGTGAGTGGTGTGAAACGGGCAGAGTTGGTGCCGGTGAGGTGAGGCGGGGTGACAGCAGGATGGGGTGGAGTGCGGTGGGGGGTGTGCAGGGAGGGGTCAAGGTAGAGTCGCACTTGCGTGGCATGTCACCCTTACAGGCACATCTGTGTTCGCCCGGTTACACCCATGCGCCCACCCACCCATGCGCCCACCCACCTGTGCGCCCACCCACCTGTGCGCCCACCCACCTGCGCGCCCACCCACCTGCGCGCCCACCCACCTGTGCGCCCACCCACCTGTGCACCCACCCACCTGTGCGCCCACCCACCTGCGCGCCCACCCACCTGTGCGCCCACCCACCTGCGCGCCCACCCACCTGCGCGCCCACCCACCTGTGCACCCACCCACCTGTGCGCCCACCCACCTGTGCGCCCACCCACCTGTGCGCCCACCCACCTGTGCGCCCACCCCGCCCCACAGCACCCACCTAAGGAGGCATGCGAGAGGGCATGGAAGTAGCGGTCTACGGAGGGTAGGCTGGCCTCCGACCTCACTCCCCATGCTGCACTGCCACCCACCCCCACATCCACCGCTACCACGCTGCTGCTGCTCCACCCATCCCCCATGACACTGCTGCTGCTGCCGTTCCCTCCTGCCCCACCAGCAGCAGCACCAACAGCCGCAGCAGCAGCAGTGTTGAGAGGTG